TCATCCAACAATTGGTTCCATCAACCCTAGATGACGGGTTTAGCTACTCATACTAAGAGATGACAATTCACTAAATAAAGTCATAATTATCAATAGAATTAAAAAGAAGAAGAATAAAACTCTAAGGAAAATTCTCTGTCTTTCTTCAGTGTTCTTGCCTTCAAATCCTCTCTAAAAATAGATATCCCTCTCATTAGGACAAATTAGGCTTCATATAGGTTTAGGTTAGTCGCCCTGGAAATTACATGATTGACCCTGGCTTCTTGGCTCCCGTCTGCCCGTCCGCGGCCGCAGATTGGACCGCGGATTTGACAATTATTTTGTCTGCGGCCGCGGAGCTGGAACTTGCTCTTCTTTCTCCTTTTCGACCGAGCTATCCTCCGATTGGCCTTCCGTGGTCCATATTGACTCCAAAACACTCTTTAGCTTCCTCCTAACTCGGAGTGGCTCGTGCAAAACGTAAAACTCTTAATTAGAGCATTTTGTTATCTTTTACATTCAAACATTGATAAAATGCGGCCAAATTAGAGTGTAAATAGTATCAAAATTGCATAATTATCGTCTACTATCAACACCCCACACTTAAATCTTTGCTCGTCCTCAAGCAATCAAACTACACTCTACAGAGGCCTAACTTCCCCCGAGCGACTTCCCTAACTCGTCACACCAAGAATATTCCTATAGGTTGAGTACATTAATGTAACATCCACACCTCAACAGTTGACTCCCGCGAGCCACGCAATATTCCTAACCGGCTTACTTACCCTAACTCAGAGATCCAGACTTACCTCTCCTTCATGAATCAAGTGCATGCTCACAACAAAAGAGACTCATTCCACAATCAATAACATGCATACACACTAAGGAACTTCAATATAAACAGAATTCACTCACCCTCAGAAATGACATTCATATGCCACAAAAGATGCACCATAGGCTTGCCCGTAGTGTACTACTCTACTAATCGAGCTCATCCAGTCTAGGATCAAGTAGGGCTTTATTTGGTTTTAATGTAGGCTGCGAGACGGGTTGGATACATTTGGATATACGATTGGCTACACATCCCTAAGCACTTTAATACATGTACGTTAACATTCAAAACCCCACACTTATGTCAAACCATGACTCCACCTTCACATCGCTATATATTAACTCTCTCTTCTTTAAGCACAATTACATCAAGAGCCACCACTTAGCGAGGAATATTTTTCACAACAATCCAACTATATATATATATATATATATATATTTTAATTCAAGCGGCTCTTACTTTATTCAAAACAGTGCATCTTTCTCCTTATTTCATTAGTTCCACTCAAAAGCGAAACCAACCACCCCACACTTTAACTTTTACAAAGTTCATACAATTCAAGTGCTCATGGGAGCTGAAAAGGTTCAAAAAGATGGTTAATTCAAACAAATGGGTAAGGCTTGTAGTGTGGTTGCCAAAGAAACAAGATTACAGGCTCAACGGGGTTAACTAGGATACATAACAAATGGGTGGATGAAGTATATCTATGGTTCAACAAAGAAATGTCTATATCACTTCCCAGACTAAATAAGACTACTATTTCGCTTTGCAGATATACGGGGCTAGTTCTAGGCATCAAATGTCGTACGCAGAATACAACAAGCCTCACACACACATGACACATGGCACATGACTCACTCCAGGTTGGGTCATCAAACACTCTATCCAGGGTACTTAGCCAAATTAAGAACATACAGTTCAAGGCATTCTTACAGGAGTCGACAACTGAGCCTAAGCGTCACACTAAAGTACCCGCTATATTCAAGGCATTACGACGTTAAGAGATCCTATGTCTATTTCCACCCATAGCCCACAAGTTCCTACTAACAAAAAAACTAACTACAACTGGTTCAAATGAAACCCTTAGAAAAGAACCGTTGCTTAAAGAAAAACAAGGGGGAATTGATACACTCCTATAGAAGAAAATCTTTTTTTGTGTGTTTTTTTCTTCTTCTTCGACTTTAGTCCCTCAAGAAACCCGTCGAATGATATCCATCGTCGGGACAAGTCCAAATTGATTTATGTAAATAAACTACAAAATTCTACATAGAACAACCCAACAAAGTATCCCCCACCCCACACTTAAAATGATGGCATGTCCCCATGTCATAAAAAATAAAATAATGCGAGGTAAAGGAACTTCCCTAGAAGATTAGTCTTGATCGGAGATAGTGTCGGGGTCGAGATGACACGCCCTTCCCAGCGCACGTAGCCAGCCCATGATTTTTTTCTCCGACTTCGCATTTTGGGTGGCTAAAGCATCAACTCTAGTTCCCAATTCCGTGACGGAAGTGCGCAACCCTGCCATTTCCTGTTCCAAGGCTGTCATCCGCGTGCTCCATCTAACTGCAGATGAACCTTCACCCGCGGCCACTTGTTCCCATGAGGGTGAGGATGGCCCCACTTGTTCCTGTGGGGTTGAAGAAGGCCCAACTTCCTCCTGCTCTTCATCACTCTCCTCTGACGCCTCAGAATCATTATTATCAGTTGAACCGGGTGTCACCGTGTCTTCCCCAATGGTTACTTTCGATTCCTGAAACTTTGTTTCTTTCCTCACTTTGCCATCCACAGTGGGGTTCTCTGGCACCCCCACAACCCGGCGTAATTTAGTGCCCAGAGATGGGAAGAAGAACACATACCTCCTCAGTGTGGAACGGATGAACATTTCAGACTGAATAACCTTGGCCACATCAAAATCATGGCCATTCATGAAGCACCAGATCAAAGCAGCTCTCAGACCATTTACCTCAGTGGTGTTGTGGGACGGCAGCAGTCGACTATTAATGATGTACAAGCAACACTTTCCTTCAAAGGTGAGTGACGCTGAGTGCAACTTCGATCCCGGTATAACTCATAGTATCTCTTTGTCTGGGGCACAGATAGTTTGGAAAAATAATTGCCAATTTGTTGGTTCTCGCTTGTAAGTATCATAGTAATCCACCTCCCCAGTAAATGCAGGCAAGCGATACGCTCTCCTGATGGCTTCAATCGAGGCATTCACCCTCTTTTGTCGCACAGTGCAGATGTGATCCTCATGTTTAGAACAGTTGGCATAGAATTCCCTAACAAGCATTAAGTTACCGTCCTCCGGCTCTTCGAAGAAGATGTCTAGCCTGCGCCTCATCAACTCCGTATACATATTGGGGCATTCAGCCTGGAGGGATCCCATGTCAACTTCCCTTTCCGGTACAAGATTTCTAATAGTCTTCCAACTGAAACGGTCTTCGGCAGCTCTGGAGACAAACCTGGTGCGATCTAACTTACCTAAATTAGCTGGTGCCCGTGCCCGGGACGAGCCTCCATGACCACTTGATGAGGCACCGGTAGTGCGTCTCTTCTTTGAAGATCTCATGGTACCTACACAATAACCACCACTATCAATAATCGGCGGAATATGTGAACCAAAGGTGGTTACTCAGACTTCACCCGCACCATTGGTCTCAACTTATACTAGAAAGCTCATTGTGGCAATTCAACAAACACCTACTGTGCATAGGCCCCCCAACATACCCAAAGACCCAATTTAACTTCCATCTTCACAACTCAACAATGTCTTTCCAACCAAACCAAACCTAATGTCCTCACATCCCAACATATATACCAACAAGCAAAAACAAAGATAAGAATACCCATACTTCTACTTTCCTAAACTTACAACAGAAGAGAAAAAGAATGAAAAAAAATCGAAAAATAAACCAAAAAAAAACTAAAAAGAGAAAGTAGAAGCATGTACTTACTTGAAAATCTTGGCAGGAATGGAGCTTGGGTAGTTGTGGAGTAGAGAAGACGGAGAAGGGGAGAATATTTTGTTAAGTGAGAAAAAAAATTGGGGAGAATAAGGAGGAGGGGATCAATTTTTTGATTTGATTTGAGGAAGGGGGAGGGTTTAGAGTTGTGTTGTTTGTTTTGTTAAGGG